CTATATTCATTCAGCGGATTTGCTAACACCTTGTGCCAAATGATAAAATTTTTACTGCTATTTATGAATTAGATCTTTATATTTCACTTATGGATCAACTTCACTGAGGTAACGATGACCCCAGGCCTTCAGGTCCCCTACTGTAAGAGCAAAGTTAAAGGGCTGGCCAGGGAGATATCGCAGGCTTTGATATCTGAGAGACTTGGCACGGGCAAATATGGTCTCGAGACACGTAAGGAGGCAGAGGCTGGTGGTTCTGAGCCTCCACTAGTTCTTTGGAAAAGGTGGAATGGAAAAGGTGGGATGCAGAGGCCACCACGTTAGCCCCCCCTGCCCACTGTGCTGCAGGAGTTATGACCTCTCCAGACTACAAGGAATGCCCTGGGGACTGTGGGTGTCGTGTTGCTCAAAACTGGATGCTGAAGACTCTTGCTGAGGCAATTTATTGCCTTTCACAGAGGAAATGAGTACAAATTTGGCTGGGGACATAAATAAATATGAGATCATTTGCTTAGTGCTGGCTTATGTGATGAATGATTCGTGTTTAACTGTTTCCATCGTCTGTTGTCCAAATCCTGGAGGTAGTGTCCTTCTGAGATCAACAGGAGCTGCAGGTGCTCTGCACCTCAAAACACCCATGTTTCTTAGAGCCAAAATAAGCACTGGGCACTTCTTAACTGTCTTTTCCAGGATTTAGTGTTTGCAGCATTTGTTACCAAAAAATCAAACTGATCCTTGTTAAAGCCATGAGGCAATTCATGGCTTGTCTTTTCCAAATTTCCATCCGGGCCATTTTTCACACTTATACTAACATGTTCACCAAGTCTAAGCGTTTTGCACCAGATCTTTCTTTGTGCATATATATATTGAAAGAAACCTTTCAAAGTAACACTTGGTAGAAGAAATGACAGTGTGACTGTTTGAGATTCCGATTATTCAAAATGTTATCACAATGCACAGATCCCAACATTCAGCCTGATGTGTGGAGTTCTAACTGAAAGGATCTGACTGTAGTGGCGTGATTACGCACACAGCATTAATAAAAAGTAGAATATGGCTATAAATCAGAGTTTGCATAGCACCCAATTAGCACTCCAAGTACAAAGTTTGGTTTCTACCATCAAAGCGCTCTGTGAACAATAGAAGCCTGCACTGAAGTAGTTTGTGTTGTCAGATGGAGGGAAGATGTGGATGGTCTGGGGGACGCTGACAGGAGGAAAGCTCTGAGCTCCCACAGATTTGCTTTTCTCAGAGCAAGCATGAGGTTTAGCATAAATCTGTGCAGCATGCCACTGAAGACACACTGCCCACAAGCTTTGGAGCTAGGGACAATGTCACAGGCCATGGACAGAACATTTCCAGGTCAAAAGGTTACGACTGCCCCAGGAATAGCTGCAGGAATGTTATAAGCTGGAGGAAACATGTTGGTTTGAAAGCTGTGGGCCCCTGTGTTTTGAAGGTGAGATATACCATGGAATCAACCCCTGCAGGAGCATCCTGGGCTTTTGAGTGTTTTACTTGAAGCTTCAGTTCATCAAGTCATGTACCAAAGACCTATGGAAGGCAGACCGGGGCTCGGTGGAGCATTTTAAGCTCCTTCACAGAAACCCAGAATGGTTTGAGTTGGAAGTGACCTTAAAGGGCATCTAGTCCCAACACCCTGCTCCAGACAGCTCCTGTGGCCCTGGCCAGGGATACTTTCATGGCAATTCCTCAGGTCCTGCGCACCAGGAAGCTGAAAGAGAACAGCTTCCACTCTAGATTCAGGTCTTGGTGAACCTGATTCCCATGCCAGTCATGAGTTTCTAGGAATAATCTACACATACTGTGACAGCAGCTACGGGAATCGCAGACTATTCCTGCATTCATCTCCAGGGTTTGTTCCAGCAGCCTTTGAGAATCAATGTCCCCAGAGAAAACTCAGGTAAAACAGGCCAAGCAGAACATCAGACCTTGTCATTCCCTGGGGATCTCCTGAGATCATCCTGTTCTGCATCTGTTTCTCTATCCCTGACTGCAGCCAACTTGACTAAACCACGAAGAGCTATGAGCTGTCTCTCCTCGTATTGTAGGGCCATTGGGCTCTGGAGCATTGCTTCCTTGCAAGAGGATCTCTGTGCAGACAGCCTTGGGAGGAAAAACAGACCCAGCAATGGTTACCCCCCTTATCCTCCTGATGTCCATCCATACTCAGGTCTTTAAAAAAAAACCCATGTTGTTGTTACAAGCACCTTGCTGACAATAAATCCTTTCTCATACATCCTTTTAATGCCAGCACCCTCAGGCAATGCCGAATGGAAAGAGTAAGGTTTCGGGCTCCATACCAAGAAATTCCTGTTTTCAAAAGGCCAGACACAACAGCTGGGAAATTTTTGGTTATTGCTGCTTTGTGTCAGCTCTTGCCCATTCCTGGAGGGGGGTGTAATTTCTGAAGCCTAACAGCATTTGAACCAGGCTGAGCAACCTTTGAATAATTTTTTGGCTGACATTTCACAGAGGCAGGAGTGTGTGTACTAACACAGAGCTATATGTGTATTTATAGCTGTCTATACGCACACATGCCTGGGGGGGATAGGAAGGCGGGTAACTCAGCATGTCTGGCGTTCAAAATGCTGATTCAGGAGACTGGAAGCTGCCCCCAAGTTGCTGTTTTACCAGACCCTGCCTAGTTTTCACCCCTAATCCAGAGGTGCCCAGGATATCTGTTTAGGGTGAGGGTCCAGCCTGAAAAGCAGTGGCTGCCAGCAGCTCTGCTGGGCTGTAATTATTAACAGATTTGTTTTTGTGGTGTTCACATTCTCAATGCTTCCCCTGCTTTAGCCCCTCTCAGGGAGCTGTCTCCTCCTCCTCACATGCCGAGCCCCTGTGGGGACACACATTTCCACGGGCAGCAGCAGTGGAAACCATAGTGTTATCCCAGTCATCTTCTGGAAGCTGTGCCTCTTGCTCTCTCCAGCACCACACTTCCATTCCAGCAGGAGTGGTTTTTTGTCCTCTCACCCAGGGTGCTTCACCCTGGGATCCTGTCAGGAGCAACAAAAAAGTGTCCTTTTTGCTACAGTGTGTCTACAGTGGCAGTGTGGCTGCCACACACATGCCTGCAATCTTTGGAGACACACGTGCACAGAAGAAGAGGGAATCCCCTCAATTCCAAGAAAAGCAAGGGAAGCTGTCTGAGCACTTAGCCCCAAAAACTTCTGGACAGGAGGTGAGACCTTCGACACATAGACAGAGCTGAACTGGAGACCTGAGATGAATCAGACCAAGCTCTGAGTGTTTGATCAGTCCTGTGCTGCCCTCCTGTACCTGTGAGCTGCTGCGGGCTTTGCCCTGGGTTTTTCATCCCAAGCATGCTCTGCCACAGGCAGGGACTATCCAGCTGCACCAGCAGCATCCAGAACCTTCTAACCCTTAAGAATCATCTCCTGACAAAAAGTCTGAGGCATTTTGAATCTACCTCCACCTCTCCTAGCAAAGCCTTTATATCCTGAATATTTTGTTTTCACAGGTTCTTTGGGCCTGAGCCCAAGAAGGAACATCTCCTCCTCTTCCTCCCACCCACCTGGGCGTACAAATGCAGCCGGTGGGGGCATTCCTTGCCTATGGAATGTGGAAGGAGTTCTGCAGCAAGTCACCATGCCAGGTCTGCCGGTCTGGCTGCCTCTCCCCTGTGGGGATCTGGACTCTGCTGAGGAAAAGCAGATAGGGTTTCACACAATCCAAAGCACATGTACAGCAACTAAAGCTGCGTAAGCACTTTTCTTCCTAGGGAAAGTTTCCAAACGTACGTTTCAAAGGAATGTGAAAATATTCCCCCTCCTTTCTTGCCTGCTTCCTATAAATTCAGCCTGATGTGGACAATCCCCCCAGACTCCTGTCCAAGAGGGATTTAAGGGTTGGGAAGGGGCAGGGATGATAACATTGGGAATTCACACCCTGAGCAATCAGTGTGGAGGAGGCCTTAAGAAAAGGACTTACCAATCATGGAAACCACTTAAGATTAATCATACAGTATTGCCATGAGAAAACACACTCAAGCACTCAAATCCAGTGAAAATGGATGTGTTTGGGGTCATTTTCCTCTGTTTAAACATCATCAGATGTTTCCATCCTCCAGAGGCAATTCAGCTTTTTGGGCATCCCCTCCTCCTCCGGGAACATCCATGCAAAAGGAAATTTCTCCATGGGAAGTAGTTTGTTTAAAAGCCAGTTTTCATGCTGGAGGAGAAAAGAAAGCCTTGACCAAACATTTCTGAGCAGCTGCTTTGTGCATGTATGGCTGCAAGGACTGGGGGCTGCAGAGCTGCTAAACAAGAGCTCAAGGGGAAGAAGGTAAAGCTTGGGGGTCCCCAGCACAGGAAGGACATGACCCTGTTGGAGTGAGTCCAGAGGAGGTCACCAAGATGATCAGAGGGATGCAGCAGCTCTGCTGTGAGGAAAGACTGAGAGAATTTGGATTGTTCAGCCTGGAGGAGAGAAGCTAATCGCAGCCCTCAGTACAGAGGGAGCTAAAAGAAAGATGGAGAGAGACAATTTACAAGAGCATCGAGTCACAGGACAAGGGGGAATGACTTAAAACTGACAGAGAGTAGATTAGACTGGATATTGGGAAGAAATTTTTCCCTGTCAGGGTTGTGAGGCTCTGGCCCAGGTTGCCCAGAGAAGCTGTCGCTGCCCCATCCCTAGAAGTGTTCAGGGTCAGGTTGGACGGGGCTTAGAGCAACCTGGGCTAGTGGAAGGTGTCCCTGCCCATGGCAGGGGGGTGGAATGCAATGAGCTTTAAGGTCCCTTCCAACCCAAACTGTTCTGTGATTCCATGATTCCATGGTAATGTGAGGTGGGCAGTGCCCACTGACTGCAGCCTTCTTGTGGCCAGCAACTCCAGCTGCAGGAGCCAAGCTGGGGAATCAGCTTTTGGGGTGGTGCCCCATGAACATGGGGCCACTGTGCCTTGCTGATTCTGTGATGGCTGATCCCAGATCCTACATCCTTCGCTTGCTGTGTGAGAGAAACAGACCTGCTGTGCTGAAGCGGGTCCGTCCATGTGCACTGACACGTGAGCATGTCCACAGCTCCTACAGCCTCCTGCTTCTCCCACCCATCCCCGAGGGCTGAGCATGGCCCTCAGCCAGGGTGGAGGGATGCCAGCTGTGAGTAAGGACCTGCAGGGCCATGTGGGAAGCAGCTATCCCTAGAGAAATGGCTGAAAACCGCATTTATATCCATGTTTTTGCACCACAAATCCCCAGCACAGAGCTGAGTCATTCTAGACAGGCTTATCAGAGATGATTTCCCCTTTAACTCCAGAAGCATTTGGTGTTATAATTATTCTTCTCTTAAATAAGAAAAAAAAAATCCAAACAAACAGAAAAACAACCCAACCCACTCAGAAAAAGCCTCCTCCTCCAAACATTGTATACATAAAGTCATGGAGAAGGAATGATAAACTTCCAGCATTTCTGGTGGGTCACGACATTAATTTGCAGACTTTTGTATTCTTGCAAATTGTCACGTAAAAATGCCATCCAAGGTCTGTGCAAAGTTCCTGTTAAGGGCATTTTATTTCATATCTAGATTTAACCAATAGAACTACAGATCAATTTTCTCAGTAGAAGGAAAGCTATAGGTTTTGCAGTTCCAAAAACCCTCCCAGTGCCTTGTCTGCACAAGTGTGTGTGTCTGCACCTGAAATGCAGGCTCCAGAGGTGAAGAGAAGGAATAAATGTTTGGGCCTTATTCCCAGGGAATGGCAGGCAGCAGAATTGCATTGTGTATTTGTGTCTGTTTATACCCACCAAGGATCTAAAATTACAGTTGAAGGAGGAAGCTAAACCTGGAGTTTTTAATAAGTCTAAGCAGTTGAATTTAATGCTCAGGAGCAGGGGGGACAGTTCTGGTACTAACTGGGAGGAAGGCTAAACTTGAGAAATCGTAATAGGAGACAATTTTCACCTTATTATGCACCTTAGGAAAACCAAGCCTTTTAAGTATGCCTCAGAATAGAAGCCACAAAATGTTATTTAATGTTGGAAAAACCTTTCTGGGACTTACAGCAGCTTTCAGTCATGAAAAGGCAAAAATACACTCAGATCCTCTTTTCTTGCAGACGACTTCAGACTAGAAATTCCTGACACCAAACCTGCCAAAATTCTCCAGACTTGCTCGAAATCACAAACAGAAATAAACTGCAGTCCCAGAAATGGGAAAGACCAGAAGCCACTAACCAGGAATCTAATTTTGTAACCAGGCCCTTTTTTGATCTCTTTTACAGGTAATGAAGTCCCTGGATAGACCTCAGGCTCAGCATCCTTTAGGGAGGGGTGAGAGATAAGCACGAGCTAACTAATCCTGCAGAATTCTCTGTATGGGGGAAACCGAGGTGGGCAGCTGTGGAATGACTTCTTACAGTCACAGCAGCCAGGAGAGCCTGAGAAGGAAATGTGCCTCTCCCAAGGGCACACAAAAGCAGAAGCTGAGGTTACACATGGTCTGCAGGAAGGAGCGGGAGCTGGAGCGAGGTAAAAGGCCTGACCTGTCATCGGCTTTCCCTCCCGCTCCCCAGCACTGAGCAGCAAAAAGCAGATGATAGGAGAGTTTCCCAGTCCTTCCCACCACTCCCAGTCGTGGCTGGGCTGTTGTCCTCTTTCATCAGCCTGCAGAGCCAATGGCCCAGCTGTGCTGGCCATTGCTCCAGAGCTCAGGTGCAGGGGGCAGCAGGTGAAGAAAGACTCCTGCACCTCCAGGCACGGAGGCAGTTTCACTTTAAAGGGAAAATAGCGCATAAGGAGCTGCATGGCCCCATTCCCAGCAACCACTACATCAGCCAGAGCTGATTCCCATCATCGCATCATTTTTCTAATCAAGGTGTTAGCTGGGAACACCCTTCCCCTGCTATAGCTCTGTCCTTCCAAATTTGGTCCAGAGGACTCTGTATCTGAACTGGGCATAAAAACCTCTGTCACAGAAGGAAAAAGCTTTCTTCAGTAGCTCACAACCAGATCTCTGTCCCAGTTTGGTTATTATTCACAACAGCACTGCCTGGAAATTTCTACAAACACAATCGAAAAGTACCACACTGTGGGGATGACCATGTAAGCAAACTTCCATGATGAAATTGCTGTCTGTCCTGCTTCTTCTGGGAGAGGCTGAAACAGCACAGGAGCCCTTTTCTCACTGTGGTCCAACAGTGTGATCCCAAAAAAACCAGGACCTGGTGCAAATCCCAGGCATGAGATTTCCTTTAATTCGTGGCCTCGTACATTTGCCTTCCCTGCAGTCTCTGCAGCAGTCGGGTGCACTTCACAGCACAGTCGGATTCCTCAGTGATGCACAGAGTTCATAAATGGTCAATAGAGCTCCTTGAGCACGTTACAGGTAGGAAAATTATATGCTACTAACAGCAAGCTGTGGGTGCTACCCATTGATTACTCGTTTATTAAAACACAACCCCCTTTCCAGCCGCTTGGGAAAAAAAGACTTGCTATAAAACTCAACTCTCTTGAAAGCACAGAAGTGCATGGAGATGAAATTCCTTCCCAGACATGGAGGTGACCTGTATTTACTATAAACATTATCCCACATTTAAATTTGGAAGTGGAACAAGGGTGAGGCAAGGAGTCCAGATTCCGGTCAGAGCTTCCCTGCAGCCGGAGGTGAGCTCTGATGCCAAGGCTTGCTCGAGCCCTCCTGCCTGCCGGCTCTCATGGGAGAGCCCTACTTTCTTTGGATTGCTTTGTCTGTGTTTCAGACTGGGTGGGGGAAAGATTCCTTAGCACAGACATCTGACCAGGCTTACTCACAAGGGTTACTCACCAGCCACTTGCCAGTGGGGAAGGAGAAGTTCAAGCCCCATTCTTTGCTCAGGCCCAAGAAACAGCCACAAATCACCTTCAAGTGAAAGGGTTGGGTTTGATTCAAGATCATGTACCCTGTGGTTTGTATGAAAAACCAGCATCAGTTGGAAGGAATTTCTCTCAGCTGAAAGTCAGGAAAAACATTTCTGGTTGTTGAATGGACTGGGTATTTCTTGAAAGCCAGAGCACAAAGACAGTTCTCTGGGGTGAGGAGCAGGGGAACCCTCCCTCACTGTTGGTTGTTGTCTGTATGGAGAGCAAACCACCCCAGCCACGTGCTCAGCCTCAGACAACCACACAACCCCTCTGCAGCAGCACAAGGCCAAGTCAGGCCTCAGTGAATTACACCCCATTCCCTTCACGTGTGCTTGCAATTCCCAGCCAGGCTGTTGCATCCTACATTCATATTCTAGAGAAACAAAAGCAGACATTGCCAACTTGGAAGTTTGAAGCTTCAAACTCCCCAGTTCTGCAAGGGACTCACCAGGAAGCTCAGCTTGCTTCAACCTAAAGGTTAGCAGGTCCTGCTGCCACTGGAAAACACCTGGATCTAGATCCAGCTCGAAGTCCTGTCTATAAACAACACCTGCAAACCCAAAGCTGAAGCCTGATGGCACTCGTGAGACAGCCCGTTCTCCCAGCAGCTCGAGAGAACTGGAGTGAGGACCCAGTCAGCCTGCAGAGTACACTGTCATGCAGAGTGACTGTCATGCCTCACATTGCATGGTTTTTTCAAGCAGTATAAAGAGTTCAGCAAATTAAAAATTATCTAAAATAAGTGGTAATTTAAAAAGAAATTAAAAAAGAAAAGAAAGGGAAATATTATTTTAAATACTCCTCCACTGCTGTGTAGACTGTTTCCTATTAAAGGCAACTGTGTGCAGTGTTTCCATTAAGATTCTGCTTCCTGTTGTGTAATATGGAATGTTAAAAATCTCAATATCTCTCAAGAAGTTATTACAAACTCCAGAGAGCTTTCTATTCCCAAGAAATCTCTCCCAGTGGGAAGCTGGAATAGTTCCTGCTGAATTTACAGCAAATGCCTCAGACCCTATGTAATATTTATGGTGTCCCTCTCATCTTATCCAGGCTGGTTTGCTGTTCTGCTGCTGTGAAAGAAAAGCCTGTTTCAATGGTTAAGGGCTGTGACGCTCACTTTGAAGGATATTGAAGCGGATACGATAGCCACAGGAAATGTTCCAGCCTCGCTGAGGTACCTCGGAGAGGTATTTGGTCAAATGAGAATTCACTAATCTGATTCCCAGGAAAAAAAAATCGCTGTAACCTAATGAAGAAAGAGAAGGAAATGTGACAGATCTGCATTCATGGCTTGTCAGATCTGGATTCCATGAAAGCCAGAAGAAAAATTCCCATTTGCTTTCATGGAAATAGGATTTTGACCCCAAAGAACTTCCATTCAAACAGAATTATGCTGCATTTTAAAATGTTGTGAGAATTAGGTAGCGTCCATTCGCATTTAAAAGAAATCACTCTATGATGTGATACATTTTCACGGCCACAGCCCACAGATACCACAGCCCTTCTTATTAAGAGATCTCAGAAACATCGACTGGGGCAGCAAAACAACCCAGGTAGTGTCACCAGCACTTTGGTTACTGAGTCAAAGGCAGAGATGCCACCTGCAAAGTGCCAGTGCAATATTGCTCTACATAAAAAAGCGCCTGGGCTTTAACAACTGCAGAATAAATGTATCCTCCAAAGCTGTTCTGACTTTGCTGCCTGCAGAAGAAATGAACATGCAGGGGAAATAGGTGTGTGTTCAAACCTGCCACAGAAAGTGGAGATAAAGAGAAGATGCTGCTTTGGGTCGAACTAGGGATGATACATAAATTACAAACAGATGATCAAACTGGCAGGGAGCAGGTTTAGATTGGATATTAGGAAGAAATTATTCCCTGTGAGGGCAGGGAGGCCCTGGCAGAGGTTGCCCAGAGAGGCTGTGGCTGCCCCATCCCTGGAAGTGTTCAAGGGATGGATAAGGCTTAGAGAAACCTGGTCTAGTGGAAGGTGTCCCTGCCCATGGCAGAGGGGTGCAATGAGATGAGCTTTAAGGTCCCTTCCCACCCAAACCATTTCATGGTTCCATGATTCTCTGTGTGCACAATGACAGCTCCTTTAGTGAATCCTTTTGCAGTCCTACATTTCAGCCTAAACTTTCAGAACTAGAGGTCAGGGCTTAAAGTCCGTGTCTAAGTTTCCAGACGGGACCATGATTCACACGTGCCAAGCACTCAGCAGCTTTCACTGGCCCTTAGAGAAGATGCCGAGTGCACGGTATTTTTTAAATATAGGTATTTTCTGAGGAATTGTGAAGCTTGTAACCGCAGACAGCTTGTCCCAGAGGTGCTGGAGGCATCAGTCAAACTGAAAGGTGAGGAAATAGGATGTGGCAACTGGATGAAGGGGATGAAATGAACAAAGGAGCAGCCAGGGGCCAGAAATGAATGCTGGCAGCAAAATCTGCTAGATGGTGGCATCAGCTCTTGAAGGGAACAGTCTGAGCTTGAGTCATTGCAAGGTGGTCTGAGCAAAGTCCTGGAAAACACTGCCAAGATCAACCTTCCCTGTTCTCCATGGATGAGCGACACAACCCAACAGGTCAGCCCCTGTCTCCTGCTGTATCCGTAAACAGAGAGGAGATTATGTGGGAAGGAGGAACCCACATTAGCTGTATCCTTGAGGGCAAATTATAGTTCAGGAGACAAACAGTACTAGGAGCAAGAAACAGCAGGGGTGCTAAGACTGTATGGTCATTTTTAGCCTCCTTTGCATATTCACACGTACACAGGAAGAGAACTCATTACACCAAATAAACCACAGCCCTGGTTTAGACATGGACAAATAGTCCTGGATGAATGGAGGGTGATGTGACAGAGACAGGAATCAAACTTTTAGCACGATCCCTCAAGAGACATTTAGAGTGGGGAGGACGGGAAACCCTTCATCCAGGGAGCACACTGATGGGAGATCCACGGAACAAGGAGAAGTAGTAGCTGTTTCATTATGAGCAGCAGAGATAGAGAGGGGAGTGGTAAAAAGATTAAAGCTGGTGTCTGGTTTTATTTAACAAACTCATTAATTCCCTGAGAATAAAAAGGAGTGAGTACATTCACATCTGAAATGACTTTGAGACATGCAGCCAACATCCGTGTTGCACCGAGCACTTAGACATATGAGGAGGAAACAGTGAAACAAGACTCAGTTTAGGATAGGGAATGCCAGGGAGGGAGAGTGATCCAAAATGCAGATATTCAGTGGAAGGAAAACAATTTGAAAGTAGAGATCAGGGTGAAGGTTTTCCTCTGAGACATGGATTTATAAAACAGTACGGCAAGATGGCTATAATAAAGTGCACATAACTGCTGTGTGCATTAGAGAGGGAGCATCCCTGGCAAAGGGATCACTACTGAGATTACAGGGAAATTACTGGTGATGCCAAACTGAAATGGAAAACAGAAAAAAACTCAGGCAAGAAAAATAGAAATGATTAAGAGATGAGCGCATATGGTTTTAAGACACATTGAAATAGTTAAATTCAGAAAACTCTTAAGAGAACACAAAATTACCCTTTGAGAGTCGTGATACCACTACTCTAAAAGCATTTGCAAGCTCCTACTAGGAACTACGTGTTTGTTCAGAATAACATAAAAAAAAAATAAAATCGAAAGCTCAGAATTTCACAAACCTGGTACAAGACTTAGAATGTGGGACAAGTCAACTAACCCTTCTGGGAAATGGCAACAACCACAGTGCAGAGACACACTCATCAAAGTACTGAAGACAAGTATCCGCCCTCTGGTATCTAAAATGTCTCTAGTCAGGATATGCGCCTGTTTACCTATTCCCTAGGTTTTAAGAGGGCATCTGTGAATTTACTATTTGTGGGATATGGAGAGAAGCCGGATTTAAGGAGAAATTTCATATGTCTGCATATGAGAGCTACTCCCACCTTGTTTATCTTTTTCTTTCCTGGGGTGATTTCAAATGAGTTCGCTGCTCACGGCTGTAGGTTCCAGTCGGAGCGTGCAATGAGAAGGAACTGATAAAAATGCCATTTGGGATTTTCCGGCTAAATATGAGAGCACTCCCCTTCAGTCGAGCAGCCTGATTAGACCAGTCAAAGCATTTGAAGAACAGAAGTCTAATGCAGGAAGCAAGTCTGTGTGGAAGAAGGCAAAGACAGGCCTGGTTCCCATCACCAGCAAATCCCGCACCCCCATGAATCATGGATTTCTCCAAGCTTCTCATGGAAGCAGGAGCTGGGCTTGTGTCTGGGCTCTCCTGGCAGCAGACAGCATGTAGTTGAGGCCACTTGGACAACATGGTGTAGGAGAGCCTATCTTCTGTGCACGATGTTTGGGAATTTCTGGTGGGACTAATGGCTTGATAGTCAGCCAGGGAAGTGCTGAATTCAACACACATTCCTCTCACCACCTCATTACCTCCCAGTCACCCCCTGGCTGCCTCTGTTTGTTTAAATGCAGCTCCTTAAGACAGAGGATGCTCGTTAGGAGCCGGGTATGAT